GCCATACAACAAGACAGCCCGTACTGTAGCTTGATACACACGTCCCTTCAGATTCGGGGATAAACCATTCTGTGGATAAAAGAAAGGACCGAAGCCCAGTAAGCAAGGTTGTGCATCACCAATACCTACATATAAATCAATCAGGCACCGTATACCGTACTGCATCACAAGCGATGTACTGGAGATGATCAGAGACTACACACCTAAGGATACTTGAAATCCTAATGCCGTTCGTGCTGTATGCTGAAAGTGCTCGCTGGTCTACTGTCATCGTCAGTTTTTTCTTCACCGAATGCCTGTCGTTGCTGTGAGCAACTGCTTCATCAGGTTGTTTAGCTCCTTTCAAATTCAAGTCGCATTCGTTTTCTGAGGTGAATGGGGATTAGGTCATGATATGAAGGACCATACTGAATAGGCACCCACGGGCTCATGAATCGTGAGGTTGTTAAGACAGAATGTGGAACATTGAAGTCGCAAGACAACCTGTTCCTTACCTTGGTTAGGCTAGAACCGTGTCAGGAATAACCTGAGCCTCTATCTTGTCCCTCATCGCCAGGTTCCTGTATTGACCACAACGACCCACCTACACGTTCTGTAAGTCTCATATTATCCAGGGTTCAACATAAGGGCTGAACTATTCCATCGCTTATTTTCCGGTATCAGTTCACATTTGACTATTACAATCCAAGAATAGTGAATTTTTTTTACAGATTTTTCGAGCCTTCGTCCTCTAGACACCCTGTGACTATCTGTAGGACAACAGGGGAAAACTTCTGGCTGTTTTGTTCTTGTTCTAGAAGTCACCTTTGTCTCCTTCGGCTTCATGTCCTCGTAGCTCATGAGTTGCAAGTCGATGTGACGTGCCTACTCCATGTGGACAGACGCTTGAAACAAACAAAGCGATGAGGTCAGCCAAACAACGCTTTGCTTACTTATCCGAATCGCTTCCACATTAGTTTGAAATGTGACTCACCCTCACTCTCTCCCTCTCTCTGTTTGTATCTCTCTTGTCATTCAGGATTACTGGCTCTCATCTCATGTGTTTTGTATCCAGTCGGATGGACAGGCAATAGCGAGGTGCGACAAGCCTGTGGCGAGGAAGCCTACATCTTCAATTTGGGTAAGTGCTAAGTTATCGCGCAGAAGTTGACCTTTCCTATTATTTATATTATTTTTTATTATTACTTATTATACATATATCATTCAGCTGTAGCACCCTTTCGGTGCTTAACTGCCATGCCACCTGAAGTTTGCACAAGGGCTGGGATGCTACCAGATTGCTCAAGCCTAAACAGGGGAAGTCGAGAGGTAGGGGTAGGGTTCGAACCAGAGACCTTCCGGTCAGTAAATTCGCGCTTTAACCACTTGGGCCATCTCGCCCAAGTCTGAGTTATTCTACTTATAGTATTGTCACGTTCTGTTGCCTTTGAGGTATATGTCAGTGCATAACCCGTGAGTACTTTACGATGGCTTATGAGGGGTGTTTTATAAAATTCAGTGAACAATGCCTCCAGCCTATGAGCGTCCTGTGAGGCAACAAGGCACCATGATTACCTGATGAAGGTCGCTTAGAAGTTACGCTGGAATGTCTGAGGCTCCTCATTCTTCCGACCGAGATGCCAGGATTCCTCCTCTCCCCTCTGGGTTAAGCGGCGTACTATGGTGCGTTTGCCACTGGAGTCATTTTCGTGAAAGACCACTGACCAATGTGGTTCCTTATTACGGTATGGGTCACTTATCAAACACAGATCTTTTATCTACCGGAGTGCGCTTACTCTCTATAGTAGCTTTGTAAAACTGATGTTACTCTCAATAACCGATCATATCTGTGGAAGTCTGGTTGCGAGGACAAAATCGCGTCGCGTTGTCCAATGGACAAATCGATGAAAGCGAAAAACATCTGTTGCAAGACTTTGTTTTATTTGCATCTCCCGACATTTGCCAGGTTCGGCATGGACTACTGAGTTTTCGGTCGAGTAGTGTACATGTCTAGCTTAACTCCTGCTGTTTTGCTCCAGCTGCGTAGACACAGGGCATAGGACAAACCTGGAGAATGCAGAAGTTTCAATATGGGGACTGCTATTCATACCACATTAGCTGGTACTCGAGGCTTTGGAAATCACCCAGCCTCACATTTCGAATAGAATCGAGAGTGTGACGGCCGTACGGCAAGCGGTCTTAGATAAACCGAGCTCTTAAGTGATAATGTATGTTTGCCGATAAACAGAGGATCACCAGCCAAAAGGGGGATAGAAATCCCAAACCGACCAAAGTTCACAGAGATAGCTCCGTGTTGAGAGCGCGGACTTACTGACCGGAAGGTCCGTGTTTCGATTCCGACCTCTGCCTCTCGACTTCCCCTGTCTAGGCTTGGGCAACCTGGCAGTATCCCAGCCCTCGTGCTTCCTTCTGGTGGCATGGCAGTTAGGCACTGAAAGGGCACTACAGCCGAGCGATTTTTTCCACAGAATTTCTCTTTCTTACACAACTATCGTAGCACTGGCTCGTCCACAGAGACGGGCGAAAAGTGTAAATGACGTTCAAGAGGGATCTTCACGTGAAGCGAACCGGAAGAACTAAACTCTTAGCTGAACCCAAATTTATACAGGTTGCCCATCGGTCTCAACACTTGATGACTCACCCTAATGAACGAAGTTCCTTAGCCGACACATAACGTAGCTTTAGCCTGATTGCTTCTCCTTCCGCCTCAACCAACCACGTGACATGGTCACTTGGCCTGATGAAGCTTTGTGTCAAAAGAGAAACACTGCCTAGCTATAAATCGACTGATCGTTTCCCAAACTTATTTTTGAAAACGGTAACTTCTGAATCGGTTCCAAGCGTTTTCCAACTGATTTAACGTAAGTGTGGTTCTTCCTAGTTATACGAATGTCCACTCACAAGTCCTGCAACACTTCCGTTTTACGGCAACCAAGTGATATATACACTTGAACAAAATGGTCTTTGTTGGTGTCTTATTTTTTTCCAGAACGTAAAACTAATCGCAACTCTGACGTTGAAAAAATATCAGCCGTCTCTCATTATCCAGAGGACTGAAATGCGTCACCAAATTCAGTACTACCAGACTTCCTGGACTCAAGACGGCAGATTTAGCTGAGTGACAGCTGGCTCGGTGTATGGAACACCGAGATGTTTCCTTTTGATAACCACCAACTGCTATTGAGAGGGAGCAAATGATTCGTGCGCAACTCACGAGTACTATCCGCCTGGCAAGTGGCTGTATCCATCAAAGTATAAATTGACTACATCAAAACAAACACAAACAAATAGTGTAAGATACGGTGTAGTGTTCCTCCTCTGACTTGGATAGGATGTTTTCTATGGTGGGTAAAGAATAGTCCCAAACTACTCACACAGAGGTTGATGAGCTTCCAACGAAGGCGTGGTTTGTTCTTATTGAGATGATAGCTCTCGCTACACGTGGCGAGCTCCCAAGAAAACTGAAGGTGATCCGATTGTTCATGTAGCTATCTTGTTTGTCCCACATGGGATCAATACTACTGAGTTCATATCACTTTAGATCTGTCGGATGATCCTGGTCGTCTGATCAGCACCAAATACGTTCGTTTTACGATCGTGTAGCCTACCTAAGCTAAACAGTGAACAGAATGACAGCGCCTGAAGTGGGGACAATGGCGCACACGTCCAGGTTAGTGGGCGGATTCCTCTGTAACCCTCGGGCATCTTGCAAAGCGACTGATCACACATCTACCGTTAGCTCAAACACGATTATATCCGACAGAGAAAACAAAAAACAACCAGCCTTGTTGCCAATAACCTGGGAAGCGGTGAAACTCAGGTCTGCAACCGTACAGTGTATTTTAAGGACGAAGTTTCCAGTGCCTGAGCATATCAGAACACGAGTGTCAACATCTTTGTTGGCTTCTCGAAACACCGAAAAATTTGGAATGGAGCAAACCCTCTCATGACATGAATAATTCACTCTGTTTGCTCATGTTGAATTCTGCCCTATGCTACAGGTGAGGATTATTGACTTCGGTCAACAAGGACCTGTTGAATGTCCTACTTTCGAGCGATCACTTGCACTATCGGTCATCATTTTCCCTCTCAGTAGAATCGGTCAAAGTCCATGGGGATGTCGGTAACAAAATGCTCTCTGTTTTCCACCGTGAATCATAATCACCGTTAAAATCTATCTGGCCTTTGACTATAAAATGCAGTATAGCATTACGAACACAGTTAACATGTTGCACACTCTAAGTTCGTTCATCGATCGCTCGGCCGTTACACATATGGTATCTGTTTATAGCAGATGTTCATGATATTCCCCTCACACGCCTTTCCATGTCCAAATGTGCCAGTGTTGCAGTGAAGACTTTACTGTCTGGTACCGCTCGATTCTGCTTGATGTGCATTACCTCCACCGGGTGACACCACCAGACATAGTCTTGTCAATTTAGAGACCATGTCACTGTTAGTGATTCATTGGGATCGAACGAATGTTCAGGGGTCCTTATAGGCACGTACGGGGGCGCATCAGTCTTGGTATCACATGTAATCACTTTAAATGAGCTGGGGTTAAAGTCCGGAAATCCTGATATAACTGTGTAGTGACACAGGACCGCTCTATGACCTTGAGAAATAAAACGAGTTCCATAGCGATGACCCAGTTTCGGGTTGTTCAGCTGTAGCACCCTTTCGGTGCCACCGGAGAGAAACACGAGGGCTGAGATACTTGGAGGTTGCCAGGCCTGGATAGGGGGAAGTCGAGAGACAGAGAACCAGTCGATTTTCTACAAAATTCTCAACCTCAGCATAAACTTCAGTTGGATAATTGCTGTCTGATCCGTTCTCTGGCTTCCATTTGGTTTTGCACAGGCCGGTGTCATATCGGATGGGCCTACGTACTAACATGCTCCGGAGGACTCTTGAGTTTGTTTGCTGCACTCCTACCCGTCATTTTCCCCAAAAACGCTAACCAACAAACAGGATCCTCCAGATCACATGACCTTTTCCTGGATAAAGCTGGACAGTCCTCTAATGGTTGCCAGTGTTTCGGAAAATCTAACCGACGAATGAAGTCAACCACGGGTGAGAATATCCCTTTTTATCCCGGTTCTATGCCATCTCCAGCAAATTCATTGGATGCTGAATCAGTCTGCTTTCAGTCATCGTCACACCGTCCCGACAGCATGTTACTTCATCCCCGACATGGCGGTCTGAGCCCAACACACTCGACGTCTCCGGTGCCAAGTGTTTTACAGGACAGGGTTCACCCAATGAGAAATGAAGACATGACTGGACTCTGCTATGTGCCCACTTCTAATCAACGCCCTCCTTCAGCTTTTATTCCCTCATCTTCGGTTCCTCCGTATCCGTACGTGTGCTCCTACTTACCCAACCAGCAACGTTACAGTACCGGAGCCTTGTTGGGTCACTTCCAGTTGCTTCCGACCAGTCTTGTTCCACCCAACCTTCACGCTAACCAGCGCATCAGTGTCGCGGTCAATCCTGACCCATTGATTTACGTCTCTGAGGAAGAGGAACTCCTAGACACCACTGAACAACCGGCCGACCCAAAGTCCGGTTCCAACGAGCAACAGAACGAAGGAATACAGGTAATTGTCCTATCCCCAAGTGTTTGGACTACTATTTTTTGCTTTCTTCGTTATCCAGCCGCCTATTTGATTGAACGACCGCCACAACAGCTTAACTTTTCGCCCTCCCGTTTAGTCCCTCAATGACTACTGTGCTGGGGATCGCAAGTCTCCACACTAGGGAACTAAATGCACATCGGTAGACGATTGGCGAACTAAGGACGTCCCAGTTCTCCAAGCCTGTACAAATTAATCGACCACAGTTGAACTTCTCATTTCTGTAGGCTATCCGTAACGCTCTTCAGACGAGTTAGCAGTAGCGTGTACTGGTATGGTAAGGGCTATCAATTCTGCTGTTCTGACATTCTTCACTCTCATTTGGTCGCCTTTGTGCGATGTCTTTGAAGCTTTACTGAAATTCAAAACAGCTGACCTAAAACAGCATAGAAAAGAGATTTAGCTGGTTTCTAGGTGAGCCTCCCTTAAAAAAACAAATTGGTTTGCAAATGAGTGTTTCGCTAATTTCGTGAAATTTGAGTTCAAGTAGAAACTCGGGGACTGCGCCTAGCTGATGAGCTCCAAGAAGGACGGAACCCGTTGTGGGCTGTTGAAGAATTTCCAGCAACCTTATGAGTACTGTATTACGTCTGTACAATTGACTGCTTTTCTTTGTTTCCGCCTACGCAAATTGCTAGCGCCCTTTTCACTCCGGTTTCCCTCCGTTCTGGCTAGTACATATGATTAACGGACCAGACGTCTTGCAGATACCTTTCATTATCTTTTCCCGCCTGGTTTCTTCGTTGGCCTCATTATGAAATAAACTGCTTAGAAGAAGCTATCGGCCACGCTAATGGTACTGCTTTACTGTTGGTAATACCCCGAGTTTTCGGTATCTTCGGTGCTGTTTTAGAGGGAGGGCTGTGATCGTCATCTGTGGCATAGGCGTGACATCAACTTCTTTGTCGAATTTACAATGCTGGGGTGCGATCCATATTCCTATATGGATGAGAAACCTGGCCGCTGCGCACTAAGGACGTCAAAAGTCTCGGTGTTTGGCCATTCATGTCTTCGGAGCATTTCCCGAATCTGGTGAGAACATCGGATCAGCAATGCTGAAGTTCGTCGAATGGTATTCGGGAGAATTAACTCACTCTCGATAGATGGACTGATCACACTGCATAAGTTGCACTGGCCACGTGCTGCGTATGTCAGTCAACCGACTACCCCCGAAGGCCTGTCTTCGCACAACCACGTGAAGAGTGGAAGAGAGCCAGTGGCGGTCAAACAATGACTTGGCAGCGAAGTGTGAAAGCCATTACCAGCAAACTCACTGAGCTGGTCATTGACGTCCTCCTGGATGGGGACCCCGAGACGGACCATATCAATGGTTAGAGACATTGTCGGACATGGCCCAGTCGCGCCCTCAATGGCGCTCATGCCTCCAAGATATTGTCTTCAGTGCATAGCTCCCTTCCCAATCCCTCCACCTGACAGGTCACCTACAGTGCTGTATTCACGCAGTAATTTATCATCTCCCGCCTGCAATGCATAGCTACCTACCTACCTCCCCGAATCATCGGTGAACGAAACGTTGGCGGCTACAACCACTGTACGACGAGTACGCGGTTATTGTAGCCGACAATGATGATGAAGATTGTGACCGTAATGTATCCCCACCAAGTGACAAGGACCCGCCCGTAGATCCGTGGCTTGATAAGCAGTTGATGTGCTGCGATAAATGAACGCAACACGCTCCAAAGGCTCCAGCTACACTTGCTGGCTTGCTTCTTCTGTCTCGTCCGAAACGAGACAGAATGTGGTAGCTGTCCTGTTTAATGGACGCGAGACCGCATCACTGAAACGCCTTTCAAAGTCCGACAACGGATATCTTTGGCATACCGCTAAACCTTTTCCTGAATGCAGCGACTTTGTACTGATTTCGTGCACGATCGAGGACTGGATATTGAGACAGACTTTCATGAGTAGAAAATAATATATGGGAATGACTATTCGTACAGACCTACGGTCACCGAATGACGTCGTTTCCTAATGACAGAACTACTTTGAGGAAGAGTATACCATTTCGAATACAACTTAAGGGATGATAACTTTAACGGTAGGACTCGCGTTACTTTTGCGCATGCTCTGCTGAGCAGATTTCACCAGCTGCATCTGTGGAATAAGGCTCAAACTTATGCCCTCAAAGCGAAGTACAAAAATCGTTCATCTGTACACCCTTCCGGCTGCCATGCCACCCGAAGGAAGCACGGGGGCTAGGATAGTGCCAGGTTGCCCAAGCCTAGATAGGGGAAGTCGGGAAGCAGAGGTCCGATTCGAACCACGGATCTTCCGGTCAGTAAATTCGCGCCCTAATCACTTGTGTACCTCAAAGCGTAGTACACACAGAACACTAGCGTGAAAATGGGAAGTTAGTGGACTCAAAAACAAAAGTATGGACGTTTAATCACACCCGCTGACCTGCACTGTTTTCTTGCACCTGAACAATACTCAGGTGTCAGCCGTAAGTAGGCGGCTGCCCAAAGTGGAAAGCACGCTCACCCAGGACGATCCAACCATAGTGCACACATTGCGAAGCCAAAAAAGCTTATCTCACTACTGGATCGTCATCTCATCAATGTGTACTCACAATTAAAGTGGGAACGTGTTTACCGTTTCTGGACAAAAAGGGACCATTGAGCTTGCACGAGTAGAACGAATGCCAACGTCTTCGGCCGAGCCTCTCTGGTTAGCAACCGCACTGTGGATCATCTATGTAGTCCGTTAACTCTCGATCCAATACTTAATTAGCCGTACTACCACATCACCTTCCAGATTGCTGATCCAGACGATTGGATAAGTTTTTCGACGATCCT